GGATTGAACATGAATCCTTCTTGGAGCTGGTGGAGACAGTATGGAAGAAGGAGAAAGGAAAGGACTCAATGAAGATGGTATGGAATAAACTGAAGGCCCTCCAACATGTCCTAAAACAGTTGAATAATAGTGAGTTCAAATTCATAAGCAAGCAGATTGAGGATGCTAGAACTGAACTTGCAGAAGTACAAAACCAGCTTGGTAACCATGCAAAAGATTAGTTAGTTGGTAAAGAAAAAGAACTCCTAACAAAACTTGAAAAATGGTCTATGTTAGAAGAAAATGCACTCAGGCAAAAAGCAAGAGCAAAATGGATTAAGCTAGGAGATGCAAACAACAAATATTTTAGCTCAGTGATAAAGGAGAGAAACAATAAGAAGTTCATCAGGAATCTGATGTCACTAGATGGAAGGATGCTACATGAACCTCAAGAGATCAAAAATGAGTTTGTATTATTTTATAGAAGTTTAATGGGCACAGCAGCAGATAGACTACCAGCTATAAATACTCAGGTGATGAAAAGAGGACCTATTCTATCAAGGCAACACAGAATCCAGCTTTGTGCAACAATAACTGATCAGGAGATAGTTGAAGCTTTGAAGTCTATAGGGAATGATAAGGCTCCAGGTATTGATGGATATAATGCTCTTTTCTTTAAACATACATGGAAGATTATTGAACTTGATGTTATTGATGTTGTTAAAAGCTTCTTCAATACAGGAAACCTTTTTAAGTCATTCAATTGTACACTTGTTTCACTGATTCCTAAGGTGCAGAGTCAAAAGAGTGTGAAAGAATTCAGGCCCATTGCTTGCTGCACTGTGATGTATAAAATAATCTCAAAGGTGATTACTCAAAGAATGCATGAAGTCATCCATACTATCATCAAGTATAGCCAAGCAGGATTCATCCCAGGGAGGAAAATTGGAGATAACATTATCTTAGCTCATGAGTTGGTTAAGGCTTACACAAGGAAGAATGTTGCACCTAGAAGTATGCTAAAAATTGACTTACAAAAAGCTTATGATTTTGTAGAATGGCCTTTCCTAGAGCAATTAATGGAGGGGTTGAGTTTTCCTGACTTATTTACTCAATGGGTAATGAAGTGTGTTAAAACAGTGAACTACACTATTGTTGTTAATGGTCAGAATACTCAAAGGTTTGATGCAGCAAAAGGGCTTAGGCAAGGGGATCCAATGTCACCTTTTCTGTGGGGGAGTACAGAAGGAAGTAAGACAACAAATTGTCCAACAACTGGGATACACAATAGAAGAACTTCCTTTCAAATACTTAGGGGTTCCACTGTCATCAAAGAAGCTGAACACAATCCAATGGTATCCACTTATAGATAAAATCATGGCAAGAATCAACTCTTGGACAGCAAAAAAGTTGTCTTATGCAGGAAGAGCTCAACTAGTCAAGACTGTGTTGTTTGGAGTTCAAGCATACTGGGCACAGCTGTTTATTATACCTGCAAAGATTATCAAGTTGATAGAAGGATTATGCAGAAGTTACTTATGGGCAGGGGTAGGATATGTAACAAAAAAGGCTCTAATAGCTTGGGACAAAGTGTGCAGCCCTAAATATGAAGGTGGTTTAGGCTTGATCAACCTGAAAACATGGAACAGGTCAGCAATAGCTAAACTATGTTGGGATTTAGCAAACAAAGAAGATAAGCTATGGATTAAATGGATTCATGCATACTATATAAAAGGACAGAGGGAATGGAAGATAAGCAATAATGCAAGTTGGATGGTTCAGAAAATAATGAGTGCAAAAGCTACAGTTGATCAAGTGCAACAACAGCAAAACAAAGGAAGAGGTATACTGAGGCATATGTACTATCACATGACAAGAAGGCAACCAAAGCCAGCATGGACATGCTTCATGTATAGCAATGCATCAAGACCAAAAGCCTACAACATAATGTGGATGATGATGAACCAAAAATTAGCAACTGTGGACAGATTAACTAGATGGGGGCTGGAAGTAGATAAAATATGTGTGTTATGTAAGAATGCAGATGAAACTATAGAACACTTGTTTCTACAATGTCAGTTTGCAAGGAAGTTGTGGGAGAACGTACTGAGAATGTTAGAGCATCAAGGCACTATTCCAATAGTCTGGGAGCAATTTCAACAATGGTGTGTACAGAATGGAAAGGGGAAGAGAGCCACAGCACAAGTGTTCAAGACAGTGATTACAGAAAGCATATATGACTTATGGATAGAGAGGAACAATAGAATTTTTGAGAAAAAAAAGCAGAAAAGAGGAGAGTATAGTAAAAGAGATTGCTTGTGTTCATATAGCTAGAATTCGTACTGCTAGTTCAAAGATGTATTTGAACTGATAATTTTAGCTTAGTACAGGGATAATGTAGTCTGTTTTTCCATGAAATTTGAAGCTACTATGTTAGTAGCTTGATTTTTAATGCTGATTTTGGTAATTAATAAAATGTAGTTACCAAAAAAATATAATAATAATAATAACAATAATAATAATAATAATATTAATAATAATTATAAAAATAATGATAATATAATAATAATAATAACAATAATAATAATAAGAATAATAAGAAATAGCAATAAGAATAATAATAACAATAATAATAATAACAATAATAATGATAACAATAATATAACAATAATCATCATCATCATAATAATAATAATAATAATAACAATAACAATAATAATAACATAAATAATAATAATAACCATAATAATAATAATAATAATAATAATAATAATAATAATAATAATAATAA